TTTTTATGTTGCGAACGTCATCGCTGAGTTTAAACTGTATACGAACATAAATAAAAAGTAATCAGTCTAGGCCTCAGATTTCTGTATCTGTTTCATGATCATTTGTTAATCTAATAGGCAAGCAGGTGATCAGCCTCCAAGCCTCCAGTTAAATGCGCACATAGAAAGTCCATTGGTGCACAGCCGGGGATTGAATTTACCACCTCAGGGATGAGAGTAGCGCACTGAAGCCACTAGGCTAACACTGCTCCGGCATATTGTATTTTTAACCTAAGTTTATACGAACATAAACTTAGGTAAAAAATCCAATATGCCGAAAAAGCGAATAAAATGATTCTAAAAATAATAGAACAACACTAACCACGGTTTCGTGTGTAAAAAGCAATACCTGCATTTCTGATTAATTGGGGATTACAATATCGATTTTGTATTACGTTCGTGAGTACAAAAGTTGCTCGCGGGTGTTGTTCGGTACGCTTTGTTTGAGGTTTTGCCTGTGAACAATGCGCGAATTTTTACGCATATTGCATTCACTATTTTTGGTGAATTTCTGTTTTATAAAATATTTTAGTATTTAATTAGTAACTCAAAGAATGCTATGCAAATCAAAGTAATTTTTTGTTCTCACTGTAATTTGAATAACTGAAAATTGTCGTATTAATGAATTTTTGTAAATATGTAATGTCTTAAATAATCTAATAAACAGTTATAACCTTAATACTAAGAAACTATTAACTACTATCCAAGCAGTTATGTTCACTAAAACGATTGATTGTAATTCTTAACATCTATATTTGTCTAATTGAATTCTTGACTGTACTTGTATGTATGAAACTTCTTACTGAAGTGGTTAAAAGATTAATATTTTTTTGGTACTGAATTTCTTTGTTAAATCTGTCGAAGTCAGGTAACACAATCTGATAATGAATCTTAAAAACCACCACGGATTGCCAACTTTTTGCCGCGCAACTTAATGGCTGCCATTTTAGGTATTTCCAAACCGAAGCTACTTAGGAGCCTTCACGAGAATAGCGTACCACCACCTAAAAGGCTAGCAACGCGCTTGCAAACCTCCTGGCGTTGTGGTGTCCATGGGCACTTAACTTTTAATGACTAGCCCGCTCGTTTGCCTCCTGTTCTACAAAAAAAGTATATTTTCCATTTCTATTTCCCCATTAAAAGCTTGTGAGTTCATGTATCAAACTACACGTTTTACGTAACCCAATTTTTACACAACGAAATAAGATTTCATCAAAAAAGGAACTAGACATATTTCGTCTCCCATATTAGATTAAGCACGCAACAAGGGATTCATTTACGAACAATACTCTCTGCTTGATCAGTCACGCGATATAATGTCTATTCTGAACCTATGAGAAATATATTTATAAAAATATTTGGCTCCAACTCCAATATTTAAGTAAAGCATTTTCGCAAAATTTTCACGTTTCAACTATGAAAACACTTGTTCAATTTAGGTCAGATACTTATTGACTTTTTCCTAATATTAAGAACACATTGAAAGCTTCTATATCAAATCTTTTAACTTGGTAATTAATTACGCGTAATTACATATTTTTACGAATTTGAAATTGAATACTCTTGCGTTCCACTGTCACGGACAGGCAGCCAAAAAGGCAGATGACACCACACACTTGTGAAAGTACTTTATTATTCATCAATAAGTCAAGAGTCAATATTACTATGAACAATTTGATATCTTCATCATATTTTTATGACACAATTTTTTTTTGGAATGGAATCTTGCTGTTTGTCTAAAGGCCCTTGACAGCTAAGCTCGGCCGGAATGGGCTTTTTCCACGACTAGCATAAGTCCTAAGAAACTCAGACCTCGGCTTGGGCCGCCCCAGGTAGCTCAATCGCGTGAACGGCTAGACGGAAGCTCACTGGAGTGAGTGAAGTACGAAGTAAGAGGCCTCGCCTTCTTTGGTGAAGGCGGTTTTTTTACCCTAATCTGAATTGGCTTCGCCGACAGGGCGGCTTTGAACACAAATAACAACGCGCATACAAAAGAATTGTTTATATGGGCTAAAAAGTATTATTTAAACGTTTAAGACCGACTAATAACTGTCAAATGAAATTTGATTATTAGTTTTGGATACACGTCTCCATTGCTTCAATTTTCTCATTCTTTAACTTATAAATTAACCATTATCTAAGGCCCAATTACCCTATAAATAAGTTTAAATTAATAATAGAAACAAATAAAGCCAAACAAAACAAGCATGTACCTACAAATGATATACGTCTACGTATAAGAAATAAATGGTATATCTGTTTACACGTATTCCTAAGGGGGATAATTTGTTCGAGTTTCCGGGGAGCAATTTAGATACTGCCCACCGTAATTGCAGTACACCAAACTGATATTTAATATTAAGTATCTATTTAGAAAATAGAGGACGTTCTTAATTTCATTCCATTTATAAATTATAAGTTACCTAACACTGTTGATTGTGGGTTAGTAGATCGTTTTTAAATATGGGTTGTGAATGTATGACGAAATGACGGTGTTTTTCTTTTGATTCATGTACAAAGAATTACAAAGCTGATTTTTTTTACAATTTTTATTTTTAATGAATGGAATCTCGCTGTTGGCCTTAAAGACCTTGGATCGTCGCGGGGTGGTCAATCGCCTGAAGGGCAGGACGGAAGCTCACGAGAGGGAGCGAAGTACGAAGTAGAGGTCCTTCCCCGGTAAAGGCGGTTTTTTACCCTAATCTGATTTTGGCTATTATTATTATTGGCCGCGCGGGTGGCTTTTAATTTGTTGTTAGCTACTACTCAGAGTATGCTCTGAAACGCGCTAACAAAGTTATTCAGACCGCTAAGGTTTTAACAACTGGTTGACTTTAGACACTGGGGCCTTCGCCGACCAGTGGTTAGACTGGTCGAGGATCCTCCCTTTAGGTTGAAGAAGTAGTACACCATCCGTCCTCCACAAAGCGGAAGATGAGAACGTTCGAACCTTTTGTTTGACAATGTTTAGCAGTATTTTGTCATTACACACCCGCGCCACACGATTTTAACGGACCAATCACAAACGAAACGCGCTTTCGTTTTCCTTTATACTTTCTCACTCTCCGTATGTAAGGATTAAGGGAGATGTAGATGAAAATATTCTTTGTAATTAACACCTAGCGTTAACACAGAATTCGATTAATTGTACTGTTTAACTTGCTCCTACAAAGCATTGTAATGGCGACATTATTCCATTAGTACTACGCGCATGATACAATTTCATATGGTATGATGGAAAAGGTTTTGCTTTGTTGTTGATAAACGTATTATAATGTTATTATGACATAGCTCAACTCTGAGATCGTGCATTCGGATCACGGCTGTGAAGCAATGGAGATTTCCTTTTATAAGCATATTTAATTAACACGGTTAAGGCAAAAATCGTCATAACTTTAGACCCAAGAAACACCGACATGAGTCAGACACAAAAGGCTGATCACCAACAAGTCTATAAAAAAACAAATGAGTGTAGCCACTGGATTAATATTATTACTTATACATCAGTAGTTGTAATATTACTCGTACTTTACCAGTTACATTAGTATTTAAGTCTAAAAAAGCACCTCAAAATCTCGAATTCCAAAATTAAAATATTCTCTTAAAGGTCTAAAAATAATAATTTCAGGCCCTATTAATATTATTCCATGCTACGGTCGATGTTAATAACATTATAATTTGCAGCACTATTACGGTCCGCGGCCGCCCGCTGTTTCAGATTTATTGTAATCACGAAACTGCTCCAAGAATATGGGACACAATTTATTATTTAACAAGGCAATGTCTGTGCTTTTGTCAAGTAATTCTTATACAAGGCTCGCTTCATACGCATGGTATTTTCGTGTATTTGACGACCTGAATAAAAAAAGGTGTATATCCGAGTTAGAACTTATATATATTTCTTTGGCGTAACAAGATAAAAATCTTTTCAAAAATTTTATTCTACATTTGTAGAAAAATCGACCCTAACAATAGAAAAAAACTAAAATGCCGACTATAGCTAACTTCAGGGTGTCGGTTTTTTTGGGGCGGTGGGCGCGCGCATCGTAAAAATTTACTCTCATTATTTTTCTCTAACGCGCCAAAAGAAGTATAGCTGCAAAAAAAAACACATTTTGGATTTTTTAAACTTTGTAAGAGCTTTGAGAAAACCCTTTAAATAAGGTGTACCATCTATATGGTAGGAAAACAATTTATTTGGTGAAAATTACCGTATAAAAAGGTTTGGTAGGATCACCCTTCGAAATGCAGTGATATTAAATACACCAAGAACAACGTCTAAATTCCTACAACAAAAAATAATAATAATTTAAAAGAACACAAGCTGGTACTTGGCAGTGTAATACTGTACAGAGCATCCAGTCTAATCAGTGAACTGGAATCATGACCTATCGAACTAACCAGGGTTTTCGGGATCCCCCACCGGCAAAAATATTAATAATTTTGAAACAGTCATTTGAAGTTTGGTATTCTGAAAAGGTGGAAGCTGTTAGTATTACTGTTTTGAAGCCAACATAAAAGAGTACATCACAACCCGCGGTAGTGTAATACTGGCATTTCGCAGCTGTATTGCGATACTTATTCATTGGGCGCCAGCACCAGCTCTGGAATCAGCGGTACTATATTATTTATTTAAAGAAGAAAAATAACTTTATTACACATAATAAAAAGTATATGTAAAAAAAAGTATTTGGAAAATAAAAGTATATGGAAAATCGCTATCCCCCACACTAGGATTTCCTGTGTCGTGGGCAGCAAGTCTCTTCCATTTGACATACTAATGATTTTAGGTACTTGATGTTATACATTATGTTTAACACTTACTATAATTTAACTACTATTGCACAAGAAGAATAGTTTTGGTATGAGTATTAGATAGATATAGTTCGATATAAAGTTTTCAATCGAGAAAGTTTTGTTTTTAAGAGTGGTTAAAGATGAAAGGGCCTCTGAAAGAGAAAATGCGTTGGGCGAAGAAGGTGCGTTTTTTGTGATTACTTATACCTCTACCTTAACATGGAATATACTTTATTTTATCTTATATGTACTTTGATTTTCTGAGACTATATTGCTTGGGATGCCGAACCTGGTATCGCAGGCTATAAATTGTCTTATATTTATGTCTTATTTGAATTGGCTGAACTGGTTTGCTAAGATTCTCCCGTTTCATTCCGTGTTGGGGTCTTTAACTGCCTCAGTTTTTTTCAGACCTTTTATTTATATATTTATACGTTGTCAATGCCTAAAAATTCTTTTGTTTTCTGCTCATGTTTTTTCAGTTTTGTATTGGGTTTGCGTTGTATGATGTCTAACCATTAGAAGTTTTGTTTTATCGTAAAGTTTTGAAGTTAGAAATAAAGAAAATCTATCAATTTTATATCGATTTAGTAGGTACAATAACAAGCCAAGAACGTACTATATAACTGATATCCTGACAAATATACATGTTGACAAATTATATGAGTTAATACAAGTGACATCGCTAACGATCTACGTCACGTGATTTAATCACGCCATAATCTGAACCATATCACGAACAATACCAGCCCGTAATTACACGTCAGGATCGTACGAACACTGTTTTTGGAAAATTATTTTCCACTAGATGGAATTTTAGTGTTAATTACTTTATTTTCTACAACATTGATGTATGTGATTTTTTAGGCATGCACATTGTTTTGGAATGTATAAATAAATAAATGTTAAGGCTGAATTTTGATGAAATGAACGTCTATAGGGTCCGCTAATAAATATTTTCATACATAACGCGTTATATGCAACGTGGATATTATAACGTGATTTTTTCTCTTATTATCAGTTTATGAATGAAGCTCATCAGTCCGGATAAAGAATTTCCTTATTTATAATTTTCATAGTTCATAGTAATATATTAAAAACAACACAGAAATAAACAAAGTTTCAAAAACCAAATCCAATAGACAGCAAATATTTTATTTCACATCTCATCAGAAGAATTTTTTTATATTTTCAATGCACTTTACATGTAAAACAAAATTACATCAAGAATAATAAAATTGCATTGCAAAAAATCGGTATTTCGAGTGAGGTACAAACTTTTCGAGATCTGTATGAAACACATGAACACCACACAATACTATACCCAGTCACATATTTAGCTCTATAGTAAAGGTTTTTCCAGTAAGCCATTTTAAATAAAAGCTCTTTCCAGGTCGCAACATCGCGGTTACCGCTGCCTCGGTTCTCCCCGCGTGCGGTGCTGATGTACAGCGCTGCTGTCGGCGGCGAGGGTGTCGCACTGCAACTTAGGGAGGCAACTCCAGCTGAAATAGATGCGAGGCTAGATGAGCGGCTCGCGATCGCCTGCCACGAGCCAGAGCTACTTGCGGACTTGTTACACGCTGCAGTTGATATTGGTAAAATTATATTTTTATTTTACTGTGGTTTAGCTTTCTCAAAAGCTTGAACTTCTGTACTTCTGAACTTGAAAATGACAAAACTACATTATTTTTTGTACTTCGTCTTTAACAGTCCATAGCATGTTTTTTTTATTTCTTTTAAATTGTATTAGGTGTAATAAGTAAATGTTCAATTTAACAAACATAAACTGTTCAAAGTCAAGTTCCTACACCCAAAACGTTTAACACCCAATAAGTTTCTACGCTCAGAGCTTGCATCAGATAGGCAACTAGATTTAAGGATATATAAATCAAGTGTCTCAAATAACTAAGTAACTAATGAAATTTACCAAAAATGGTTTCTGAAAACTAAGGAAGTCTTGTGTTTTAGTTAAAACTAAAAAGAAGGAGGTAGAAACCACCAAACATTCTTGACTTAAATTCCTATGCCCCCCCTAATGGGGCAGAGGGCATCTAGAGTAAAAAATCACCCTCATCGGTCCTGGGCGGCTTTCTTAATTTCACTCCATGTCATACCAGCTTCCTTCTTCTTCTTCCAACAGGTGTGTTTTAAGTGGGGACGTTTCCTTTTGCCTTGAGGATTCCAGCCGAGGGCTTGCTTGCATAGCTCCTCATAGCATATTTCCCTTAGCTGATGGTTAGAGATTCTCTCAGGCCAGAATATTTTAAGGATTTGACGAAGGCAGTGGTTCACAAAGCGGAGTTTTTGTGTTGTGAATGGTGATCTTTGTAACTTTCCATGCTTCGCAACCATACAGCAACACGGTCTTTATATTGGATCGAAAGATTTTAAGCCTGACTCGATTGTTAACCTTCGTGATTGCCAAACGTGCAAACGTTGTTCCGGTTTTTCGGATTCTCGAAGTTATGTCATTCTTGGTTCCTCTAGTTTCGGTTAGTACACTTCCCTGGTAGGTAAACATGGAGACTTTTTCTATGCTTTTCACCTCGATCAGAGGTGGGGATGTCCTTGTAGCTCCGCACCGCATCTCCCTTGTCTTTCACGAGTTAAGTTTAAGGTCGAATTTTACTGCCTCCTGAAGTAGAACATCCAGTTTCGTCTGTTTATCAGCTCGTCAATGACTCAACAAGCAGAGGTCATCCGCATTGTCCAGGTCTTCCAAAAAATCGGGTAATCACCACTCAACCTCTCGACGTGATTTTAGTGCATTGAGCATGACTATAATCCAGAACGACAAGGAACCATTATTATAAATTCATTATCACCCCAATATCAAAACAGAGTTATTATTGGGACGCTTTCCATGTTATTTTCAGTAAGCATTACATTGGTAGAACCGATTTTTATTCCACAACTACAACAAACGAGCTGTTTAATTCAATGCTTCGATTAATTGAATTGTAGTTATTAACAAAATTATGGCAAGTTTAAAGCATATATTCAAAACTTTATTATATAAATTGTAAAGTAAACTGCTGAAACAAGATTGGCATTCTGATATCGAGAATTTCGATTTGTTTTATTTGAGCACTGGGGAAAGAATCATGATATTCTACGAGTCCGCCATGTTGGTGTTTTGAAATTCAAATTTCGAACTTTACATTCGGAACTGGCACAGGCCATCGTTCACGTTGCCTGGACGCAGCGACATTTACATCGATTGCCTATAAAGACTGATTGCGTTGCCGCTTTGTATCAAACCTCCTTTTTTTAATTTACATAGTCTACCAACGTTTCTATATTTAAAAAAAACTACTATTATTTTATAAAGACTGCTGCCAAACGTGTTTTCTATCACGTAGCACAGTAAAAGCTCAGGGGCTATTTCTATTTCAGCCCCGCGAATTTCACGCGAACAGACGCTGGCGTCTACTCGCGTTTAATATTGATTTATTAAAAATACTACATCATAATAGATAAGAATATGTTGTACAATACAATATTGTCGAACATATAATTGTCATCTTGTCTAATGTATTATCAGATCCGCAACTACTTTTAATGATCTAATTAAATCTTCACCCATCCAAATACGTCAGTTAGTAATGGAGTAAAAGAGAAAAACACAGAAAAGAGCGTACCAATTCCTAAAATGCCGGCAACGAGCGTGCCCTCTGGCATTGAGTTTCCATGGGCGGTGGTATCACTCAACATCAGATGAGCCACCTTGCCCGTTTGCCCTGTTTAATAAAAAATTTATGGGAGGTACCTAAATGATGGGAGATCCCAATCCAGTTTGACAGTAATAACTTACTGTAAATATTTTACTTATACTTAATTAGACATTTTTGCAAGGGATATAATTATTGTCTCTACTTAACTAGAACGCGAACATATAAAATCCTCGGCAATGTTGGAGGCCCAGCGTGTCTTTGTTAATAGAACTGAACAACTGAGTGTTTCTTCCTGCAAAAGTCTTGACCTTTGCCGTAGCAAGTATCCGTTCGGTACAAAGCAGCCAAGTTCTTGAAAAGCACTCGGGTTGATAATTGGGAAAGACTAAGTATGTACTCTTAGCAGACTAACTCTACAAAATATACCTTATAGCCTGAACCAATTTCGTAGATGAAAGAGATACATTACAAATACATACATTTTACAGTTTTTAATAAAACTTTTATCGCAAAACGAACGCCCTTCGTATTTCATTTATACGTACTTTTATAAATAGGACCTAATTTAGTCAAGTTCACCGGTTCAGGTGACGCTTAACACTCAAGATTCTCTTTGAGATACTTTAGAGTTACGAGTACGTACTGGTAAAGATTTTTTTGTAAAAAGTTAAGGAATCTGAGTACTTTGCGTACTTACTCCTTTTTGTATGGTTTTCAATAGTTTTAAATAAGACATATTTTTTTAAAATTTTTATTTAAGTATAAAAAAAAACATTTGATTTATAATAATAAAAAACAATAGTTGTATTAACAAATACAACAATAATAAGAGACAAAATATTTCGATTTTTAATGTTAGTGTAGAATTTTACCTTTAAATGGTACTTAAATTCTGCGAACAATAGAAACAATATCTCTTAACACAGTAAAGTTAATCAGCTTTCGTTCCACTACACAATTTTATAAAATTTTCCGTTCCCCAGGAAACCCTTGGGGAGTTTTATCTATTATTTAAAAATGAGTTATTATAAGTTGCAAAATAAATCCATATTACTTTCATGTACATCTAGTATATATTTTAAAAGGTTATGTATGTGAGTGGGGGTGACTTTTAGGTTTCAAAAAAACGTTGTTGAAGAAGCTTTCTTGTCTTGCCCAAAATAACGGGAAATTGAGGAGTATACGTTTGAGGAGTATATATGTTTTTTATGATAAGGAACTGCTAAGTTTTGTGTCTCGCAGGGCCAGACTTATGGTGTATATTCTGGTGATGTATCCTACACAATACACACAGGCACATAAATCGAAGCTTACAAAAATATCTATCGTAATTGTCCATGAATCCTGCTGGTTATCGGGAATTCACACATGACAAACTCGTTATTTTTTCTACATTAAGAATTGATACATGTTTTTGGCACATAAACAAAAATATGAGTAAAATATTAAGGATAATTATATGAGAAAACACAACAGTTTCATCGCTCAGCGCTGTCTCATCAGGCTTTCAAAAAAACCTTCGAAATGCCTCCGTCCCACTTAAAAATGCTAACTCATGCAAACAAGCTACGAACGCTTAATTGAATTATATCTTCCCTAAACGAACGAATATTTTATCTAATGTCGAAAATTGGAGCGATCGTTATAATTTTCAAGTTATTAATAAATATGGTAATTATTTGATTCGTTCGCGTTATCTGACAGTTTAATCCAATTAGGTATCGATTATGGTTTTATAAAGCGAAAATATCAAAACAATTTTGATATTAAATATATATCGAATTAAAAAAATACTGTACCGGATAAAATGTGTTTTATTATCACGATTTATTTTGGGATAAAGTTAGGTATTTTTGAAATTTATAATTCAAAATAAGCAATTATAATATTTTCATAAGAGTCTGTATTCATTTATTTTATTTTATTTATTATTAGACCAAAAATTTGACGGGGTGTGATAGAAAGTTGATCACCTACTTGCCTATTAAAAATCACGTTACAGATACTGCAATCAACTAAAAAAAATCAACGCAGTAGACGTGTAGCGTCGATTTTCGACCATTTGTCGAAAGTTTTACGTTGTAGCGTCATTGGTATAATAACTACATAATTCCATAATTTATTTCCACGTGACATACATTCCGTGTTTTTTTTTTTTTTTATTTAAATGTTTCCAGATTATTCCCCGACTATATAGTCGTCGGAGGTGTTAAAAAGCTTACATAAATGTATTGGTAACCCGAATGTTTACTTTCTATTACTATATTACTACTCTACTACTACCTATTTCTTTTGACAACCCCCTGCATGACCCTCACAGCAAATCCCAAAAAGATGCCCCTCAACCTAACATTGAGCATTATTCCCTTCAAACTCGTCTCCGTTACCCTCATGCCCATAGCTTGCTCAGCGTTATACCTGTCGTATCCATACATGGGACAGTCGGTCAGAACATGCAACACTGTCTCTTCAGCTGCATCGTCACAAGGACAGGCAGCACTTTGTCTAACCCTGAACCTGTGAAGATACGACAAGAAGCCACCGTGACCTGTCAACATCTGAGTGATCAATCCCGTTGGTTTCATTTGTTTAATTATCGAAAAGGCCGAAGCAACATTTGGAAGGAATAACTTGGTTATTGCAGCTGTTTCACCGTCTCGATATCTGTGATTCCATTTTTCTATCGTGTTTCCACGTAGACAGTTCTTCAAATGCGATATGGGAAATCTATTGTACACGGGCGCCTCTTCTAGATGCGCAGCTTCCTTTGCTAGTTGTATATCCATTCCGTGTTATAAATCCAAGTGATTCACAACAAGATTAGCTAAAGCGAACGTCGTAATTGAACCCGCATAAATTCGCAATAGGCTGTTTCTATTAAATTTTACGACAAACATACCCTCATATAACTTTGTTAATAAAGCTAATATATTGTAGACAGATGGGATCGGAGACGTTACATGATCACCATTAATGTTCGAAACTAATGAACGAACAAATTCTCAGTTAGTAATTTCTGGAATTTGATTGGTATTTACAAAAATTTTAGGACACTTTAATGAGAATTTTAAGAAAAGTATTCAATTAATCATTTCAAAAATCAGTGGCGCTGGTGGTCTTGGCCATATTTAAATGTTTGTTGAGTTTTTTTTTCTTTAAGTAGACGAGATGTCGTGATTCGCCTTCCGTTGTTCTTACGATGTTACCCTTCGCTGTGATAGCGAGTATTTTATGCATAGACATAAAAGACCATTGGTACACAGCCGTGACTCGAACTCACTATCTCAGTGTTTAGAGTCGCACTCATACTACTAAGCACATACATATTTGAAAGATTATTTTATGTTATTTATTTAATTTTAATTCAAGTAGCAGCCAGTTATACAGGCTCAATCTTTGTATCGAAATAGAACATTTTCCTATCAACTCCATTTAAATGCAACTTAAAAAGGAAGTAAATATTTACTGAATATCTTATGTAACTATTAAGTTACGAAGATACCCCAGATACATTTCAACAGGAGTAAAGTTCCCTTTTGTAACTTCAAGAATATTTTACCTGAGACGTGGATAACTTTTGAATACTACTGAAGATCTCCAAACTGCAATGACGATGAATGGTTAACTAAGTTTAGTTTTAAGTGCTTCATTAAGTTGTCAATGAATAGAATCACTTAA